CTGTTCAATACGTTATGTTCACCATTAGTATTTTGGTTTTGATATCTGTTGCTAACATGTGGATCATTGGAGCAAGTGTGCCTTTCACAGTCCTTTCGCTCTATGTAAGTAAACACTTTATAATCACAGCACGTGAGATCAAAAGAATCGAAGCCATCACGAGCAGTCCAGTCTGCTCACACGTGACAGATACAATTCAAGGCATCACGACGGTTCGTGTGTACAAAAGAGAAGGAGTATTCCTGGATCGTTTTTACAGGTAACTCAAAGCTTTATGGTAAGATCGTCATTAAATTAACTTAGAAGGGTTGGGGGGGGGGGGGGGAGTGGTCGGTGCATGGTGATACAGATTTCTTTTAAACCTTTAGACGGGGAATTTAGTTTAATTTAATATCATCAAAGGAAATGCTTGAATACAAACCTTCTGCGATGTTTCTACTACCTGAAGGCTGATTTGCAGTTGTCATCATTACTTTCTATTTTCAAAGCAAATCTTAACTTTCGAAGTAAACAATATTGTCGTCAGTATTTTTTACACTCATAAAACACGATCATCATTCCTGTTTTTTCTGTTTTATTCTGCTTTGTTCTGTTTTGTTTTGAACAGGAAACTATATATACTATACGAGTGATAGCTGTGTTCGAGTTTCATCACATACATACTTAGGTGATGATGATCTAACTTAGCGTGAAAAACTTCAAAACTCGGCCTGACAGTTTATTTCGTTTTCCGTCCCAGCTCACGTTATAATTTCGTCAGTTACGGCGCTTGGTATGTTTACAAACTTTTGACTGGTGCCTATGTTGCTACCTGCCGGGTCGCTCGTTCTTATATTTCACCTCCTATTTCCGTGTAATTTGTGCTGTTACCTGCAAGTTTTTCTGTATCAATTGAAGCCAAGAGCTCGCTTTTATGTTCGTGATACAGGTCACGCAAGACTTATCGATCAATTAACAAAAAAAAGCTAGCGAAGTCCGGGAGATGGTCGGGCATTTTACAAGTTGGCAGATGGCAGGACCGCTTTACCTGACTGAGCTCCGTATTTTATACTCTGATAAAACATGCTTTTTCAACCAATGAGAGCGCACGTTATATCCGAACGTTATTATAATACGGATTAAGCCACTTTATCTTTGTCATATAATGGTTTTTATATTGTAACAAAGTTTTTTCTCTTAGTTATCAAGATGCAAACAACAGAGCTTTGTTCTGCTATACTGCTTCCCTCAAGTGGCTTGGTATTCGCCTCGATTCTCTAAGTTCAGTCCTAGTTACTGTTGTAACTTTAGCCGGCATTTTTCTTTCTGGTGATACAGGTAAATGACTTATTCTCTTTAATTTCTAACATGTGTCGTAGCCATTCTTCGCTTAGTGCCTATGACTCAAGGAGAATTCTTAGAAGATCAATATATACAGGGACGAGTGATAAAAATAGTGAAACTGTCTTATAGACTAGAAATTCCTTTCAAGCTCTTTTTGATATAAAGACCCCAAAGGGCAAACCACAATATATTCTCGGATTCTTGCAGATCGGCGGCTGATATTTCTTCCGTTCCTCTTCCTCTATTTTCTATCGGTAGGAACTTTTCAATTTTAAGTGATATGAGAATTTCTTCTTTCTGCCAGTATTTTATTCTTCGTTAGAGAAGGATCATCCATCTTGGCCTCAGAGAACTTCACGAATCTTTCGCTAGCCATTTATCACTGACCGTTTCTTCAAGCAACTGCTCATTGCATTTAACGTGTGGTGTGTTTGCCAATAATTTAATTTTATTGCATTTTCTCAGCTTTATCAGGCTTATCAATAAGCTACTGTCTGCAGCTCACCAACACAGTTCAGTGGATGCTGCAGGCCATCGGAGAAACGGAGAATTACATGACGTCCGTCGAACGAGTTTTGAGCTACACACAACTTCAACCGGAGCCAGGCTACGATGCAATTATCCCGCACGCTCCCAGAGATTGGCCTGAAAATGGTTGCGTCACTTTTCGAAACGTGTCTTTGAGCTATTTCTTAGGGGGTCCTCCTGTCTTGAAAAATATCAGCTTTAGTGCCGCCGCCGGTGAGAAAATAGGTATTGTTGGACGGACTGGCGCTGGAAAGTCGTCGCTTATCGCTTGTTTGTTGCGCATGCCTGCAAACACCGAAGGAGAAATCATAATCGATGGCATTTGTGTTGGTGATCTCAACGTCCAGGATGTTCGCACCGCGATTGCAGTCATTCCTCAGAGTCCTTTCCTCTTCAATGACGTGCTTCGTCGAAGTCTTGATCCAGCTGACAAATTTACTGATGAAGAGTTATGGGACATTTTGGACAAAGTTAAGCTGAAGTCGACTGTGGTTAATAGAGATGGACAACTTTACTGTCACGTGACAGAAAATGGAGCTAATTTCAGCGTTGGCGAGCGGCAGTTGATCTGCTTCGCTCGCGCTCTTTTGTTCGGTAAAAAAGTTATTGTAATGGACGAGGCAACATCCAGTGTGGATACACAAACGGATGAACTGATACAAAGTATCATTCGTAAAGAAATGAATCACTGTACTGTTTTGACAATTGCACATCGTCTGAGTACTTTATCTGATTATGACCGAATAATGGTGCTCAGCGAAGGGAAAATTATCGAAATGGATTCTCCTAAGGTTTTACTGAGCAATGAGCTCAGTTATTTTTACCAGCTATATCACAGTGTGAAGTCCTAAAGTTTTCTCTAAAGTACGATCATGCCAAGTAAGATTTCCGCTTAAAACAAAGGTTAGAAAGCATACAAGTGTGAACTACATGTTGTCAATAATTATATACCGTTAAAAGGATTTTTTATACCAATCGACTCTCACCGAAAGTTTGTATTGGAGAATTTATCTTAATTTTTTTCGCAGTAAGAAATATTTTTATTAATCTCAAATCGATAAAGTTTGTTGATCGTCATAAGCATGTAGACAATGACCAAAAAAATCAAAGAATTTGCGTTTTGGTCATTTTGAGTTAAAAACCAAAGTTGGTAGAATACGAAGTTTTTTTTTCTTGTCACATTGTTACACAGCTTCGTCTCAGTTGCCATGGTGATTATAGGCATTTCAGTGTTCAGTGTAATACTCTCATTAGAGAAAACAGTAGTGGATGTCTGTAGACTGCATACACTGACAGTTCATCTGTTTTTACTTTTTCTTAAGTTTACTTGCGCAGTTAAAATTTTTCGTCTGGACTTAATGTCTTGCTCGAACTGTTTTCTTAAGATTCTGCAAACACGATAGCTAATCATTACAAACGATATTCTGGTATTGTGGTGCGATCCACTGGTTACTTTTATTGTCTTGAAAAGAGCGAGCGATTTAAACTCTATGGGTGTCTTCTCGGTGGTTCTTTAATCTAACTACAAGAAGAGAGATTGTGCATAATGCTTTCTTTTAAAAGAGAAGATAATCGTTTATGGGAGGAGGGAAGGATTGGTGTATTCGATTACATCTGGACATGCAATGACCGTGATGACCCGCTGTAAATTTACAAGAAAAGTTCATAACTTAAGTAAGTTAGAGGGGAAAGAAAGAAATATAACTAGTCTCGACGCATAAACCTCTGGGGATGCTTTGCTGAGAAAACTCTGTGCGTCGTTTTAAATGTAAGTGACAAATATTGTTCGATCTTTCGAAGTACTCGCACTACCCTGGAGACATTTTTTGTCACGTAAATCCAGGTGTAAATTACGAAATTTCGTTAATAAAACGAGTAAAGGGAGTTCAGAGAGTTACTTAATCCACAAAAAAACTAACTTTAACCCTGTTTAGCCAGTTTTAGACTTCTTGAGAAGCCGTTTAGAAGTCAGATGGATCTCCAATTGCCCTTTTTCATCTCGTTATCAGCTGAAGTTAGCTTTATGTATTGTGCACGACTGCAACATTAAAATGCTATTTTTTTGTCAATGTTGTTATTGTTACTCAGCATAAAAAAGAAAAAAAATTAGAAATTTAGAACGTTATATGCATATTCTCCCATTTCACATCTACCAGACTTATAATCCATACACAGGAGCTTAGGATCTAGATTATCCTACCCACAATTCAGGTACATGCTATCTTCTTAGCAAGCGTCAGAGTTTAAGAGAGCACTTCACCGTCATTAACTTGGGTTTGTTCTCTATAACACTGCTGGTGATATTGTAATTATTGATTAATCAGTGAAAACAATCAGCATTCGAAGTAACCAATTGACGCGTTTAGTTTCCCTTTGCTCAGAAGTTTCTCCTTCAACTACGTATCATGAAGATAACTGAAAGGTGCTGCTTTCTTATTGATTTTCAACTATTGATTCTGGTCTTCGCTAGTCGAATCCGAGGTTTGAAAAGCTACGAGGGGTGAATTGGATAATTTGCTGAGTATTGAAAGTAAGGTTTATCAGTTGATCGCTCCACCAAACAGGCAAAGTTTTGCTTTGCTTTTCATATAGTTTAGAACATGATTCGATGGACTAATCTAAATAGCTTGATCCATGTAATTTCTATTAGAGAAGGCAATTGATAGTTAAACGTTTGAAATTCTCAGCCAATGGGTTGCCAGTCAGCAGAACCATGGCAAATCGTTTACTTATAGCTTATGAATCCTGTTGGTACTCACCGTAGATGCTAACTCTAACCAAATGCTCTAACAGAGAAATGAGACAATATTTCCAACTGCATTCATACGCTTAACACTCATTTCTCTAAGACATAGTGCTACTTAGATAGTATCTGATACGAAAGAATCAATTTGAAACAGACGGCTGACCTTAGCCGCGCCTATGCTAATTCTGATTGTATCTGGCGTATGACATGACAAAAAAAGAAGCCTTAAACAAAGAGAACACATCAAGTGAAGCTCGATAGAGGCACGAGTTGCCGGTAGACACTATGCTTGATGTTTCAGATGTACTCACCGTTCTTTTGCTTCTTGGGATAGCTTTGGAATATTATAAATCCTATTTTCGTCACTTTTGTTTCTGATTTTACTCGTTATGAAACTTCATGACCGACGGTGCTTCCTTTTAAGAGTGCGCGCTGTTCTCGTGACCAGTGATACCAATTTTTTATCAGTGATGTATCCATCTTCTTCCTTAGCCACAAGGTCATACGATTAGTTCCACAGTCAGATGCGGATGTCTTTTCTTTGAGGAATTTGCCGAAAAGTCGGAAAAACGTAAGTTTTGGGAAGTGATATCCTCTTTTTTGTTAGTAAATTATTTCATGTGCTGGCTAAGGTAAGATTTGCAACCTGAAACAATAATAATAATAATAATAATAATAATAATAATAATTTTTTTTTTCGATTCGTGAGCGGGCGGTATTCTACAAAACCTGCAATCTGATTGGTTCCGAGAGCAGACAGAAATCTCCTAAATCCCTGAGTCTAGCTAGAAAAAAAAGCGTGTCGTTTAATCTCAGTTTCTACAAACGCCATTTCAGTAAGCAAACAAACACACTGAATTCACCTACAAGGTAATATAATATTATTAGCTGAGTTGATAACGTAAATTGGCTACCATTAAGAGTTTCAAAGCTGACGTTTCAAGCGTTAGCCCTTCGTCAGAGCGAATGGAGCCCAGGTCGGTCCAAATTGGGAAAAACTGTGCCCTCTGTCTTGAGTACCGCCAAAATCCAAGACCTCGAGCACATTTTTTCCTTATACGGACCTCCCGGCTGGTGAATAAAATATATATGACGTGTAACAAGCATGTGGATTTATCGTTTTGTTGCAGAGATCATTTTTAGCAGCTATATTATTTAGTTTGGTTTTAGTGATTGACTGTTGACAAACTAAAAAAAAACCAAACAAAAGAAACTGCCAAAAAATACGAAAGTTAACCTGTGGTGCATGATAAAGCAATTGCTGAAACTAAGCCTGCAAAAATAAACTGTGAGCTTCATAAAAGTTACACGGTGAGACCAAAAGTACAAGCGTCTTCAGGGTGCCACATTATAGTTTAAGTTTTATTTTCCTAACAAGCAAACAATTTCAACTTTATTCAATATTATTAAGCCCTTAATATAGTCATTCACAATTAAAACTGGATCATAAGATCTTCATGAACAAGAAAATTTATTAGGCGATTAAAAAGGAAGAGTGCTGTTAGATTTCCGAAGCCGAGGGCTTAAATGGTACAGGTCAACAAAGCCAGAATGTGTAGTTGGATTAACGTTGAGTTTAGCATAGGTAGAAGGTTGATCAGTTTGTTTTAAGAATTTGATCGGGGAGAGAGGTGCATATTCACTTAGCTTCAGATTAAGTCGAGGATTTCCTGGCTCGTCTCGCTGAACTTTCTCTGTGTAAGAACACGATAGCAATCGACGCAAGAGAGATGATCGATGATCGATGATCAAGATACATGTTGTCACGGAGACAGCGATTTCGACAACTGATATCACACATTGGATGAAGTAAAATGGCAATAAGGAAAAATTGAGAAACTTATATCTCAAAGAATTGTAGTCTTATTCAACACCAAAAAGCAAAAAACCAAAGAACGATAAGGAGAAAGTAATTAGTTAAGGAAAAATGGCACGAAATGGCAACTCTATTCCCTTTATCGGGAGAGTGGGGCCAATACCTGTAAATGTAATACTTTGCTTCTTCATCCGTCCACAAATCCATTTACTTTTTTCTCAGCGGGTACGGTGACGCATCCTGCAATCTGATTGACTCTTAGTACGGTCCAGATCTTCCTATCTCTGCCCACGGGCAACCGTAACGCTTTCCTAGGTTGCCGAGTACATCCCTTCCTCCGTTACCATTTTTCATAAATATATCCCGTTTCGCTGACTGGGAATATTTTCAAGCAACGAATTTTGAGCAGATCAAGCCGATTAATAACTTTTTAATTCTCTCTCTCTCAAATAACTTTAGTTTCCAGTAAAAAATTGTCTTCGAAATGAAGTTGTTGTAGCAAACCGTGTTTAATTAACTTTGATTCTTCACAAAAAGTTACTAAAAATGTTGAATTGTGAAGAATTTGTTTACGATTGAATTAATCGATGCAATTTTATTCATTTAATATCTGAATTCTCTCAAACAAATTTTTCACTGTAAAAGGGTGAGCCAAGTTTTCAGTCCTTTTACAAATACGTTTTCGGTAAGTCTTTGCAAGTCTGTTCAACTTTGTAATTTGTACCGTAAATCGCACAACAAAAAGCGAAAGAATTCAACGGAAAAACAGGTTTCTGTTAAAGGGAACCGAGTTGATCAAATCCATTGCGTTCTTGAGTGTTATCAGGGGCGGTTGTAGGATTCCCTTTATTTCTGCGCCGCCACCTTACCATTACAAGAACAATTCATCCGCCTTAAAAGAACCGGGTTTTGTTACTGAGGCTGTTTCGGAGCTCTTATGTGACAATCGCGTCGAGGAAATATACTTGTCGGAAACATGGGGACGCCCCCACGCGAGAACAATTTCGTTACCTCTGAAACCAGATACTTGTTTTGTTTGTACAGTAATTTTTGATTGATGGACACCTGAAATGTAACTGCAATAATCGCATGTACATTACACTTTGATCGGTCCTTTTTTCGAAGCGAAGACTAGGTTGTGTTAGTAGGTTTTTTTACGATATGAGGTCAATTTTGTTATAGCAGGACGAATTAATTAAACGAATCAATTGACAAATCGATACAAGTTTCGAAGTTTATGACAATACTCTCCTCCGGATATTGTCAATCCGTTGAGTGTTTCCGTTCAAGCTAGTGGTAAAAAGAGACTCATCTTAAATTTAAGGCATAATAATTTTCATACATTTAAACAGCAGTTTAAATGTGAAAGGTTGCATACCACCATAACTCGTCTGAATGAAGTCAGAATCCAGATTTACACACGCTATTGCGGCAAGCCTACGAGCAAACTCTCAAAACATGCATTTGAAGTTACTTACAATTATTTTCCTTGTCATTCCCTGACTGAACAGATGTATTCTTACATCAATCATCGATTGAAGTGAATAATACTTTCCGTAAGATCACTGAATGTTTTTTGAAGAAAAAATTGCCGCGACAGTCATTGAACTTGAATCCGTGAGTGGGTGGCAACATAATCAGATTCAGTTAAAAAGCCAAAAAAACTTGCCTCAATTTAATGTTTGTATTGAGATAGCGTATTTAAGAAATACGTTAAGTTTCGACCAGGAATAAGGTTATCGTTCCCCTTCAGAAATAACAAGGCGTTTACCTTAAATATTCAAATTTCTCATATTTCAACCAAATTTTGTTCAACTTCGGAGAGTTCGTGTGAAGTGCAAACTGACTTCCACTTATGTTTTAATACAATGTTTAAATACCTTATGGTTTGAGTCTCAGGGTAAACCAAGGTGTAGCACATGCCTAAAATTTTAATCGCTACTTTCAGCTGAAATATAAATTTCTTTCGGTTAAGAATAAAGCAGTTCTAAAATGTTATAGTTCGCTGTTCAGATTACTGCTAAGTTGAATATTTACTACCGAACTAGAAGTAAAAACCCTCTATGAACCGAAATATCGGAAAATATTTAATCTCGCTTTCTTTCCTTTTGCGTGCAAGCAAAGTTTTGAGAATGGCCCATTTAATCTTAAACTTTGATTGTTTTGAAGTCGCCGACGGCAAAAATAGATTTTATCGATTTTCTCCAAATTGAAGCGGCCTTTCTGAAAACAAACTACGTCACGTTTAGTTACTTACCAATACCTATCGATGGGCAAAATATGAGCTAAGAAATAATTTTCGGCTCTGACCGCGAAATCTCAGTTTTGCTTGGAGCCATTACATGGAGCGTTAATTTCCCACACTGGGCCTACGTCACGGCATTTTCACAGAACGGTTTATTTTTAGACTATCTTTTCGCGGGAAATAGGCTATTCGAGCTTACTTGGGTAATACGATCCATGAAACGCGAAGAAAAAAATGGCGGCCTTACGCGGGGACGTCTTCATATCAAAACTACGCAAATTCCGCCTTTCTTTTGCTGTATTCCAGTATTCCAATCCTTACTTTCCTAATATATCCCACTATCCTTTGCAAATTTTTCACACTTGCGAAAAAATTCGCAGGAGTGCGGATCATCGTTGTATTTGTATTTATTATTATTATTATTATTATTATTATTATTTATTTTCGTATGTATCAAAGGTTATCCGTCTTCTGATTCTGGCCCCTCTAAAGAAAATTTCATGAAAAGAGTCCAAATTCAAGACGATGAAGAGGCGAAATGTCACCGATGATGGAGAGCGCGAAAACAAGAAATTGCGTGAGCATGCTGTGTGCGAGTCGTCTTCATCTCAAGAATCTTCATCAACACAGTCCGCAAAGGAAATTTTGCGACGCAGGATTGAACAGAAGTGGGTGCAACAAAATGAAGAGCGTTTTTCTAGATCGCAAGATAATGCTACCCTTTCGAATTGGGCTTCGATCTTGTCAAATCTTGGATATTTCTGTGAAGTGCGGTCGATAATTGCCGCATGCGGCAAAATTCACGGTGCCTATTGTCGCTTTGATCATTGAACAGTCAAAGTCAGGTTCATCATCACTAGAACTTTCCTCAGAACTGCTGCGTCCCGAGGTATTTTCAAAATATTCACACCGCAAGCGTCCCAAGCTCGCCGTTATTCCTTTTATAGGACGAAGTCAAGGCTGCGCACTTCGATTTCGTCCGTTGTATAACAGGAATAACAGTGACGGAAAAGCAAGCTTAAAACGGCAGAGAACGCCGGAAACCACAACGGACACAAAAGATGTGAGTAAATTCTATTGATTTAACGCGTAAAATGTTCATATTTCGAAATATTTATCTTTGTTAATCGACCATATTTCGTTCCTCATGCTATTCCTTATAACATGTTCAAATTCTCAACGGTTCCTCCCGTAAGTTAACACCGAGTCACACAACATGTGACGCTTTCATGAATTAATCGTTTGCTTTTTATCAAGACGTGAGCTTGGGACGCCTTTGTTCACACGACATCTCTCTGATGTTTTTCTTTCGATATATTAGCGAGTAGAGTTAGTCTTAGTTAAGCTAATCTTGATTGGTCGATGTGCTCTCGTGGGTACGGGTAGTTCGCGGTAAATTAAAACTAAAAATAGACTTGTCTGCGAAAACACCGTGACAAAAACACAGGGCAGTTGAAGGCTCCAAGTGATGTGCTCTTGGTTTTGCTCGATTTCTATAGGCATTGGCTCTTAAATTGTTATTGTTATATGAACTTGGCCTGGTTATTGTCATGACAACCGGCAAGTGAGGTCTAAATTTTTGAAATCTCTATAATAGCTTTAGAAAAGCTTCAGATTCCGCGCTCCTACGCTCTACCACCGAGCCACCGTGGAGTCTCTGTGGCTCAGTAGAGCATCGGAACGCAGAATCCGAAGGTCCGAGGCTCGATTCCTCAATGGAACTCAGAATGTTTTCTGTCCCACGCTCTTAGTGAGACGAAAAACACCTTTCTCTATAACTTGATTTAGGTGTCGATGTCTTCAACTTAAAAAGCTAATTGGGGACACCTAAATAATAGGAAAAAAAGAAAAAATATATAAAATTGTTTATACATGGTATCATTAGGTAAATTCATAGTTCACTAAAATCCAAAATTTATAAAAAGGTAAAAATTAAAGTTAAAAATTACGGAGTTATCTCCACTAAAATATACAGAAAATGCTAAACATATTATTAAAATTCTCAAGAACTAAAATTAAGACGGCAGCCACAATTGTCACTTCTAGTCTACATGGTTAATACGTCGTATGTTGGACTTAGAGGATTGTAAAGTAGGTTTGTCTTTGATTTTGCTGTCCAATTTAGACCATGTGTATGGTCCAAAGTACCTTAAAGAATGTTTCCTTTAGTATACACTATTAAATCTGGCTACGAGCTTTTTACTCAAAGCTTCATCTCTTGTTGTGTCTGAATTGCATGCTAATGCATAATTGAAGTGAAGTAAAGGAACCTCGTTTAAGGAAAAATTAATGGTCGCTCGTTGATTTTGGCTGTAATTTTTTTTAGGCAAAGCCACACATTTTCATAACATATTTTGATTCAGTGATTCCCGGGACCGTAACGAATCTATTGACAATGGAAGAGCGGATACAGAATAAAGCTTCACGCGCTAATAATATTCGTTATGCATGATGTTGTCGACCAGAAGGCTCCTTGAATCTTAAAAGTCAAGCCTCTCAAAGAGATCTTTTAGTTCTTTTGAAGAGATGAAAATTGATCAATGAATTTTTAATAGAAAAAGGTCTTGATAAGAAAAAGCCAGGTTTTTTCAGTTTTGATTTGAATTCTTAATTTCTTTCTTTTGATTTTGATATTTTAAGCCCTGCAGACAGCACTTTACATTTTTCACGACCGGGAAGTCTAGACAAATTATAATGAATGATTTTATGATTTTTATAGCTTAAAATGATAGAAAAACCTAGCCTTAGAACTTCTGGCATAGAGTTTCCCTGCGTGTGTTATGGTCTTCCCTCTTAAGTCAGTCTGCTGGTCTGTTAAATAGAGTCACAAATCAAGAAAATTGAATTCATTTTATTTCTTTCGATGTTTAATTTTCTATGAGCTTTATTATAACATATTTATATTAAACAACGATTTAGAATCCATAAAAAATTGTGAATATATGAAATAAAACAAAATGAAATACGAAACAAGATATTTGTGTATATAATCACAAGGAACTCTGCATTTAGCCAGAGTTGGGTTATTTGATTTATTTCCGATGTGATCGTGTTATTTTATTATCTTTCTTTTCGGTAGATAGAGGGAGAAAACGTACCTTTTAATCAGCCATAACTGGTTCAGCTGACTGACGCAGCTTGCAGGTATAAATTTAACATTTTGAGGCGTTTTGTGTAAGTCAGCCGGTTTTCAGTTTCTTCTATCAATCTCATATCAACAAATGGAAAATTTATGAAGTTTACGTAATTTGAACAATGACTACCTCTACCTCAAAGCTAGAGATGAAAACTTCAGAGATACGCGTATTTCATCTTTGTCTTACATCTATTTTCATGGTTTTTCGAACATCTGACTTTTTGCGTGCGCGAAAATCAATCTTGGAAAAGATAATGGCTCTGAATTCCCTTTCATTCTGAGTAAACTGACAAAAGTTAATCTTCCGTCATCTTTCGATCAAAATCGGCCACAATGCATAGTATAAAATAGATATCAGTCTTAAGTCTACTGATCTAGGAGTCAAGAGGACATGGGAGTCGATGCAAAGATGCTTAAATTTCCAGAGCTTGCAAATATTTGCTTAACTTGATTGAAAAATTGGCCTAAATTTGTTTTACAAGCTCCCCTCTTGGTGTCTGTAATAATCTCCGCTTTCCTAAACCACACTTTTTTGTTTTATTTTATCCTTGCCTTCATGGTGTTTGTTTGCCTTGAAAAATGATTATTTTAAGATCTACTTTATCCATACGATCCTGTGAAGATTTTAAATTTAATGTGATAATCCTTAGTTTCAATTAGGAAATTGGCCGCGGGTAGGGTCATGCAATCTTTCCCTTTCTATACTAAATCATCATCACAGTCTTTTGATCGCTATAAGAAATCAAAACAACGGCTAAGCTATGAATATTTAATGTAATCATTGACCTGGTCGGAAAATTTACCAGATAAAGTATATCTGTGATTGACAAGTATTCGTTAATGGATCGATGGCCTTGTTGCCTTTGAACATCCAGTCGACCGACTTTTAACTTTGAATTTTCCGAAACTAAACGAAACTTTTAGGTAAAGCAAACAGGAGGGCATATTAGCATTTCTTTAAATGGCATGAGGCAAAAACCTGATTGTAAGACATAAACAGCTGTTTTTAAAACAGTCATTAAAACTAGGATTTTAAAAACTACCATATTGTCTCACTGCGTCATTAATCAGTTTTATGGCTAAGTCCCAACAAGAGGTCGACATATACAAAGAAGGGTCGTCTACCTTATTTTTCTGTAAACATCGCAGTTTTATCGTTCAGAGGGAGTGTCAGCCAATTTACCGAATGAGGGATGAATTCAACATAGAAAGGAGAGGTAAGATGTGATTCTCATAACATTCAAGAATAACTTGAACAGTCGACGACACATTGGAGAAAGGGTGACACTGTATGATATTTACGTTGCGCACAAGAGCTAGAGAAAAACGAGAAAAAGTTACATATTTAAGAAAACCTTGTTGCACTCACGCTCAGAATCCTTGCCTTTATGATCGCTTTTTTCTGTTTTGTTTTGTCCATTTCTTTTGATTCTTTAGGTTGAGTTTCATTAATTAAAGCTTCCTCTTCAGTGTCAGAAAGCATAACACTTTAAAAATACAAGGGAAATAAATATTGGGGGAAAAATCCTTCAAATTCCCATGATGTCTATCACAAAGTTAAGGACTTTGAAGAATCGAAATCTTTTAATCACTGCAAAGAAAATGATGCACATAAGCTTGGCGATTTTGAAACTTCCTTGCAATTTATTATCTCATTGAATTTGAAATCTTATCAACCACTTGTAAATCTATATCTTAAAAGGCCGTGTTTGTTTTTTCTTTTATGAAGTTGAGTTAAGTGATGGGAATATGATCATTGATTCTACCGATAGAGTGGTCTTCAATGTCTGGGGTAATTTAATGCAGCAATTTACACCATGCTTGCCATGCTTTTCGAAGGGTGTCGAAACTCTTTCGTGCCCATATTCAGATGACAGCGATAAAACTTCATTATGCTAATCCCTGTCTATGTTTTTTACCTGCATGATCAAAACATTCGCAATATGTTTATTTGTTATGGTTTAACTACCATAATCCTTTTTTTGACCGACGAAAAACGTTCATCTGGTCTGTCAAGCAAATGAAAAGGTCATTATTGAAAGCAATATCGCAGACCTAAATATGTTCGACATTCATTTCTACATCAGTTAAACATCCTGTAAATCAATCGAAGGGGATATTATACGTCGACACGAAGACATGAGTATTATTTCAGTTTGAAAGATGAAAGCAACATTTTTTTTTTGGTTTTTTGGGACGTGAGAAAACAAACAGTTGATTTACAGTTTCAGTATTTGTTTTATTCTCCATTTAGTAATTGCGACAGCTGACAAAACAAATTTGCTGCTCTAAAAATATAAATACATTTTGACTTTTAACATCACCGATAAAATCGCACACTATGAGCTTCTAAGAGCTTCACAAATGTATCGCTCGCCCTTTTTCCACTGACTGTTTGCACAAACACCCACAAAAAAGCGGTATATGACGTCATCACTATCCTCACTAATGAGGATGTTGAAAAATTGCAACTGACACACGGTGAGAATTTCGCGTGACTTCTGCGTATGGTAGGTTTTCCAGAAAAAACCCATCCTCCTCGAAAACTACGTCATTCGTGATTGTCGAAATTTGCGTGAATAGACGTGGGTTTAAGATGGAATCTGGGCAGCAATGAGAGCTGTGAGGTGTTCCACAATAATCAACACCTTGTTTTAGAATTTCGCTATCTAATGCAAGTTCCTTTTGACGAGTTTTTAGCTTCCCCTTTGTAGTCTGAGTCCTTACTAAGGTTATTCATGTGATGTGTTGGAAATCTAGAAGCCTAAGACCTGAAAGAAACATCGGCAAGATAAGAATAAGTAACTGATTAACATTGAAAAGGAATCGTGATGATTTCTTATCTATTCAGCACATGATCTCATGTGGATTGCTCTAAGCTGTTTGAAAGCGTAATTTACCTTCTTCTATTCTATTACTTTAGTGCTGGTATATACAAATTTAAGGTGTGACTTTTCGTCTAAAAAAATTTGCCAAAATGATTTCAAATCCAAGGCTACTTAACAGACATGTCTTCATTAATTCCATAATTTTGGTTTTTCTATCGCATTAAAATCGATACCTTGCTGTGGATTATTAGCATAAAAGTGGAGGACGTGGGTGTAAACGATTCATTTTCTAGCTTACCTTACCTTTCGTCTTTTAACATTTATTGCTATATCTATTCAAATTAATTTCGATTTTCCCGGTTGTAGGCCATAGAGCCTTTGTAAAAGTTTACAAATTAAAGTCAAGTACGACGGGCACTATTAAATGAAATGTAAGACATTCATGTCATTTAGTCGCTAAGAACCTTTTTGTTCAATTATTGGTATTTGGGGGCAATCAAATTAATTTCTCGTTGGCGTCACATACATTGGGATTTTTGGTTTGTGGCTAAAAATGCCATTTATTGTTATATTTAAGCCTATATCATAAACACGGTTCCACAATTGAATTCATTTGAATCTCTATCGCGAGACCCTGTGGATCGACTAATTTGAAATCATTTAACTCAGTTATACAGATATTGCTCCAAGAAAGCCTAATCTAAGATGGAAGAGTTCGGAAAAGTCATCATTTCGGTTATCTACTTGGTACTCTTTATCACTGCTATACTCGGCAATGTTTTTGTTGTCTATTTGGTGCTGAGAAGGCCTGCAATGAAGAGTCCTACAAACCTTCTTTTGGTAAATATGGCAGCAGCCGACATTCTCTTTGCTGTGTTCATGTTTCCGCTGGCTGTCATCCGACTTCATGTAAGAGCTCTCTGGATCGGAGGTCCTTTTGGTGACTTCACATGTCATGTTATATTCTTCATGTCCCATTTACCAATTGCTGGTTCGACGACAACTCTAACCTTCATAGCGTTTGAGAGGTTCTTTGCAATCGTGTACCCATACAGGACGATCAGAATCTTTCAAAAAGTGTGGGTCATCACAATCTGTATTTGGCTGAGTTCGGCCGTGCTTATGAGTCCCGTTGGAATATCTGCAGTTACTACTGAAATAAACGGCCAAATCCATTGTGATCGTGACTGGTCCACTTTTGGAGATCCCGTGATGATGAAACGGACATTTTACGACTCCACATTTGTCGCCATGTACGCTGTTCCATTGCTTGTCATTGCCGTCCTGTACACTGCAATCTGTCGCAAGCTTTGGAAGCACAATGCACCTGGACAACGTGGACCATTGCATGCACAACAGAATAACACGATTCGAAAACGTCAAATTATCACGATGCTTATCACCATCGTCATCGTTTTTGCACTTTGTTGGCTTCCCACACATGCCCAGCACATTCTTTTGTCATACTTTCCTACTCTCCATGCGCGCTTTCCACTAGCTGTAATGGTGTCCATGAATCTCTTTGGTCACACAAATCCTGCCATAAACCCTTTAATCCTGTTGGGACTCAATAATCGATTCCGCCGCGAGTTTTTCAAGTTATTAGCTCGTAGAAGAACAGCTCGTAATAGAACAGCACCTTTAGAAGAGTCCCCAAATGTTTCCGAAGATATAAGAGTTCAAGAAAATGGAATCAATAACGCTGGATTACGCACAGAAAGAACGGGTTCTTGAATGGGTTGTTAAAAATCTGACGAACGGTAATCATGAGCTCACTTGGTTTCAAAAACCAGTTGCTGTCACAGATATTACTTATATACTTGCCTTAATTTGGCTTGACACATCTTGGCGTTAGGATATATTTGATATCATTTAAAGTAACTTGGTAATAATATTGACGTCATGTAGAGATTGCCTTTAGTAGAGTGCATGGAAATATAATCCCATCAACCTAAACGTTTTCTGAACGCTTTCAACGTTTTGAGCAAACATATAAATATATTAATGTTCATTTAAATAAGTTTTTTAGTGATAGACAAAGAAATAACTTAAGTCACCTCCTCGCTTTAGACAAGTTCTTGAATTATCGTAGTGTGTCGGGTGTTTTCAGATGTTTCTTGTCAACCACAAGTCCTGCCACAGTTGCTCAGAGCCGACGTTCGGCGCTGAACTAATCTCACCGAAAGATAAGGCACTTTTTTGCTTTTGTTTTTTGTTTTTGTCTTTATTGAAGGCACAAGAAGGCTCCTTGTGTCTTTTATTGAACATTTAAGAGACAACTCGTTGAGAACAAAATTAATCCCAACAAGAGATGTCCATCAGTGGTAAGACCCTTTGGTAAGAATAAACTGCTGCTCCGAAATGCGTGATACGTCATATCACTGGAGGTAAGTTTAATTTTTGGTGGTGAAAACTTTTCAACACGCGTTAGGTGCTTCATGATACAAAAAAGAAATTAAAACGAAACGAAATAAACATAGTTTTTTATTCCATTCTTTTGGCAAAATGTTCATCGCAGCCCTCCCACTCCGAACAGTGAAAAACAAATATTTTCCACATTTTTTTGCAAATCCACCCACCATGTTATTGACCTAAAGGTAAAAATCTATCCACAGAAACCTTACAGTGGTGGACAAGGGGACTTAGGTAGATGAATGACAACTGGCAGGAGTACTTAAGTTGTTGCCGTCCTTATTTGAAGTGTTTTTTCGCTATATCTGAGTAATTTCACGACTGGAATTAACCCTTTAACTCCTAAGAGTGACTAGCTTTCAATTCATCCTTACAATATCACCCGCACATCAGTCGTGATAGGTCTTGCGAAGAAAGAAAATGATCTCCAAGAGACAGTGTGGGGAATATTAATACTAATGTTAGGGCGTGAAAGTTAATAAATATTTCTTGATCAAAAAACGCCTTTGCCCTGCTCCTGCGCTTGGTAAAATCACTCAGATCAATGCTAATATTTACGGCTTCTGTATTCGTTTTATTGGCTTGGCTCTGACTGAAAAATGTTGTCGAAAATCTTAATGGGCCGTTGGACTAAATCGGCTGAAACTCTTCGTCAAAACGGGTTGCGCGTGCCGTTAGCGGCGAGGGACTTGGATGGAATCGTAACTCAAACAATAGTGTACAATTTTCTTCTTCGGACAAAGAAGCTTGCACTTCTCTATTTAGTTCAGGCGTATAAGTTTTCTAGCGACGGGAACGGCTGACTTTCTGCTTCGCAAATTATATCGCGGCAAACGTTTCTTTAAATATTTTTTCGCAAACTTCACAAATGGTCAAACGAGTTACCTGAAAAATTAAAAAAGGGGGTACGTTTCTAAAGAAACTGTGGTGCTGCGTTGGTGGGGGAGTATATCAGGGTAATTTAGTGTTATCAAATGAGTTGATAACGTAAATTGGCCATTGGTTTAGATGCGTCCTTTTAATTTCTTTATACGTCGTGAAGGTGTTCTCTAAATTGGTCAACCAGTTTTCTTCCTGTTTCACCAATGTATAACTTTTTACAATGAGTGCAAGTTATGCAGTAAATGATATTGGCGGAGGTGTGCCATAAGTGCCACTTGACCCAAGAGATCCATTAAGATCACTTATCAGTGATCTTAATGGATCTCTTGGGTCCCGACGTAGAGAAAATGTCGGGACCCAAGAAATGACGAGGACGCATCCAAAACCACTTGCTAGTCCCCTTAATCTCCCTATCATTCTGAGCAGACTTCATTAATGAATGAAAATCATAGAGTAATCGACAATTCCCGAAAGCCACTGAATAAGTAACTTTCGGTTTTTCTTTTCGTATTTTATTTTCTTTCCCTTCTAGCAAAGTTTGAACGTCACTGTCTGTAAGCGAAAGGGATTTTTCAGTGTTTTAGCCGCCTTAATCTGAGAAAATTCTGTCAAAACACCTTGGATTAAGAATGGTGAAGGCTTTGCTGTTCATTCGTCAACCGGATGGATTGGCGCGAGAGGCGAGTGACGTGTCAGCAGCTAATTGGCGAAAGGCGAGTGACGTGTCAGCAGCTAATTGGCGATATCAAACGCGTGAAAAAATACTGTATTTTTAGGGAATCGTAGGCAATCCTTGTATAACGCCGAAGTTTAAATGATGAAATCTTTAAATTTGCGCAATCTGTAGGTTTTGGGTATCGCTTAAAACTGACTCAGTTAAAGAAAGTGGAGGGGGACAGGGGGGTGGGAACCCGGGAGAACAAAGGGTGGAAAGCGGGATCTATACGAGGGCGAGAAGCGGGAGCAGAAATAAAGAAGGCGATAATTTGTCGTTTATTACTGGGACTTATTCCGTCAAAAACACTTATCTCGCAAAGTTTTGAACTTTTTATTTAACATCCACCAATGCTTAAAAGAAAATTTTGGAAGCAGGAAAACGTAAATTTGTACTCGGGCTGGAAAAACAGCATTACTTCCGGTGAATTTGGAAATCTTTAAATAATTTTTTGCAAACTTCACAAATGGTCAAACGAGTTACCTGATAAATTAAAAAATTGGAAATCCCTTCAATTCGATTAAGTCATAGGTCTTGAGAGAGCATGACACACGACACATGTCCACTTATACTTCAGAGTCTGGTAAGCTGTAGCTGTCGAAAATCTCCAGCAAAGAAAGCGAATCGGCCTCAGAATTTTTCAATGTGGCAACGAAAAATCCCTTCATGAAAGAACTTAATGGGAGCTCGCTCCGTACGACTGCGCTTCCAAAACTGCTGAAGATTTTGCCTCATGGTGTAAACCTGTTTCAAAGGAATATCGCTTCGCACTGGGGAGTGAGGAGTGGTTCACTTTTCAACGCAATTTTTTAATTTAGACGAGGCTAAACCCGGGTTTCTGATCCTCTTGATTAACCTGAAGACAGTAAAGGGTGGAGACAATGAAGGGTGGGAGTCGGGAGGCGGGAGAACGTGGTATGGGGA